ACCTACCCTTAGTGTGACTGGGGGTGGCATTGCAACCTCCCGATCTGCCCTGCTCTGTGCATGACAGGGGGTGGCGCCCCAACTCCCCAATCGGCCCTGCTTTGAGCCCGACCAGGGGCTGCACCTAGGGATTGGGCCTGCCCTCTGCCAGCCGGGAGCAGGCCTAAGCCAGCAGGTCGTTATTTCCCGAGGGGTCCCAGACTGTGAGAGGGCACAAGTGGGGCTGAGGGACACTCCCCCCACCCCCCCCGCCAGTGCACAAATTTTTGTGCACCAGGCCTCTAGTAAAATAATAAAACATAAAGAGAACTTGTTATCTAAAGAAGAAAAACTGAAGCAGAATCAGCAATGTGGGCATTATTGAAATTTGCCAAAGTGTTTTGAATTGTGCAGATATTAAAGGACAAAATTATGAAACACAATCCTCAGATAAAGCACATCTTTAAAATCACCTGTATGATCACCAAAGATCACAACCTCTGAAGCAACACTTTGATGAGTTAAGAAAGAGACACCAACTTCTGAATACACTGTTCTTTCAAAAGACATTAGTCAAAACCCCCCACAAAACAAACCAATACCCCTCTCCTCGCAAAAATATCCCCTTCATCATCATCATCTTCTGCTCCTGACACCCAACCATCAAACTATCATGGCTTGATAATCCAGGATCACCCGAAGCGGGTGATTATCCTGACATGTCATAAGATTAGAAGTAGTCTAATGCAATACAATGCCTGCATCATTCACCTCACTTCATGTCTTCATGTAGGCATTTTGTCACCCACATCATCACAAGAAGAGTCACTACAGTACAATAAAATATTTAGAGAGATAGACCACATTCACATAACTTTTTTTTTTTTAATCCTCACCTGAGGATATTTCTTCCATTGCTTCTCAGACAGAGTGGAGGGGAGAGAGGGAGGGAGAGAGAAACATTGATGTGAAAGAGACACATTGACTGGATGCTTTTTGTAGGTGCTCTGACTGAGGGTGTGGAGGGAACTGCAACCCAGGTATGTGCCCTTGACTAGGAATTAAATCCAATACTCTTCCGTGGGTGGGCTGATGCTCTAACCACTGAGCCACGACCAGGGCTCACATAACTTTTATTACAGTATCTATATATATAAAAGCCTAAGCAACCAAACGACTGAACAACTGAATGACCCTTTGACCAGTTGCAATGACGCACACTGACCACCAGGGGCAGATGCTCAACACAGGACCTGTCCCCTGGTGGTCAGTGCACTCCCACAGTGGGAGCAATGCTCAGCTGCCTGATGGGCACCAGACGCTGGGATCACGGCTGGGAGCACAGCTGCGGCTGCAGAAGCCTCTCCTGCCTCCACGGCAGCACGTTACTGAGCAGCAGCGGCAAGTGAAGTGGGGCTGGGATAAGTGGGAGCAGCGTGGCCCCTGGTCCGGGCTCCTCCCCGGCCGCCTACCACTTCACGCACTACTACATCCCTTGGGGGATGTCGGACTGCCGGTTTCAGTGGGATCCCTGCAGGCCTTCAGGTTGAAACTGGCAGTCACATCCCCTGAGGGGTCCTGGATTGCGAGAGGGTGTAGGCCAGGCTGAGGGACCCCACCGGTGCATGAATCCATGCACCAGGCCTCTAGTATTCCTATAATTGTTCTAGTTTATTATTAGTTGTTCATGTCTTACTATGCCTAATTTATAATTTATTAAAGATATATATGTACAGAAAAACATTAGTAAAAAAAAATATATATATATATATATATATAGTTTGGTATTATCCATGGTTTGGTATATCTACTGGGGGTCTTGGAACATCCATCTCAAAGATAAGGGGGACTACTCATACTAAAACTCAAACACCTCTCAACTACAGATGTGATCTGGTGGTCTTTGGCAGGAGGGGATCGAAACAATTATGGTTTAATATTTTGGTATTATGAATAAATAAGAAACTAGCCTCGTGACAAAAATTATAACAATAAAAATAATTTGTTTGAGGGAAAATACCTGAATTTGTATGCACATTATAATATTGATTCAGAATATATAAAGGTTAAATAGATTAAATTACACATTGACCTAAAAATCCATAATTACAATGGAATTTTAATGTATACACTCAGGAAATAAAAAACACAATCATATGTCTTAGCATATGAATGTTAAAAAGTTAGTAAAATGTTTTTAAGAAAAACTACAGAAGCATTCACTGGAGAAAAAAAGCACAAACTTTTTGTTTGTTTCTTTGTTAAGTCTAACCAGAGGACATTTTCCCATTGATTTTTAGAGAGTGGAAGGAACGGGGAGAGATAGGGAGAGAGAAACATCAATGTGAGAGACACATTGATTGGTTGCCTCCTGTCGAGCCTGCAACTGAGGTACATGCCTTTGTAATGGAACCTGGGACCTTTCAGTCTGCAAGCCGATGCTCTATCCACTGAGCCAAACCAGCTAGGGCAAAAGCACAGACTTTCTCTCAATCATGTACAATAAAAACAATTGAATGGCCCTAGCTGGAGTGGAGTTAGTGTTTCAGAGAACACTCCCAATGATGAAAGTCTACATTTATTGCCTTATAAAAAAATGAGGGCTTGTAGGAGAATCCAAATGCATTGGATCTTTGATTTTGAACTTTGGAGACAACTGTAGAAGCCAAAAGCTGAAATCAAATGGAAGTCAAGCGGCCACTGGTGGTTTTGAGGATATTCTTTTTCCCCCCAACTAGTCTATACTCAATGCTAGAGGCCCGGTGCATGAAATTTGTGCATGGGGGAAGGGGTGTCCCTCAGCCTGGTCTGCACCCTTTCCAAACTGGGACCTCTCAGGGGATGTCCCACAGGGATCAGGCCTAAACGGCAATCGGACATCCCTCTCACAATTTGGGACCGCTGGCACCTAACCACTCACCTACCTGCCTACCTGATTGCCCCTAACCACTTCTGCCTGCCAGCTTGATCGGCCCCTAAATGCTTCCCTGCTGGCCTGATTGACACCTAACTGCTCTTCTGTCAGCCAGATCGCCCCTAACTGCCCTCCCCTGCTGGCCTGATCGCCCCCAACTGCCCTCCCCTGCCAGCCTGATCGCCCACAACTGCCCACCCCTGCTGCAACCCACCTCCTCTGCCGGGCCCTGCCTCCGCTATGCGCACGGCCATCCTGTGACGACGTTAGGATGTGATGCGTGAGGGTGGGCCGACCACCTAGGCTGCTATTGTAGATTATTTTGTATTGGTTTCAGGTGTACAGCACAGTGGTTAGACCAGGAGTGGGCAAACTTTTTGACTCGAGGGCCACAATGGGTTCTTAAACTGGACTGGAGGGCTGGAACAAAAGCATGGATGGGAGTGTTTGTGTGAACTAATATAAATTCAAAGTAAACATCATTACATAAAAGGGTACGGTTTTTTTTTTTTTTAGTTTTATTCATTTCAAACGGGCCGGATCGGGCTGCGGGCCATAGTTTGCCCACGGCTGGGTTAGACAGTCATATACTTTGTCATATACAGTGTCTCCCCCAGTATTTCCAGTACCCACCTGGCACCATACATAATCATTACAATATTATTGACTATATTCCTTATGCTGTACTTTATATCCCCATGCTATTCTGTAACTACCGATTTGTACTTCTTAACCCCATTATCTTTTTCACCCAGATCCCCAATTCCCCTCCCTTCTGGCTACAATTAGTCTATTCTATCTAGAGTCTGCTTCAATATTGTTTGTTTCTTTTGTTCTTTAGATTCCACCTATCAGTAAAATCATATAATATTTGTCTTTCTCTGACTGACTTACTTCATTTAACAAATTACCCTGTAGGTCCCTCCATTTTTTATAGCAAATGGTATCAATTCATTCCTTTTTATGGCCAAGGAGGATATTCTTGATTGGCAGAGCAAAGAATGAAGAAAATGGTCTAGAAGCAAGTGTTCACAAAGGCCCTATGCATCTGTCTGTCTTATCTATACAGGTGCCTCCAAAACCTGCCTAATCCTATTTCGCTTCTGTGTTCCAAGTTGCATCTTCGGAGAATTCTAACATGGAACCAGAAAGGCAACATTTGTATTTCACAACATTACTCATGTTGTTATAACAGTTAAGAAGGCTTATTTCAAAGTCTAGATTTTATTGTCTTATCACAGATCTCTCTTCTTCTTTTTTTTAAAAAATATATTTTATTGATTTTTTACAGAGAGGAAGGGAGATAGAGAGTTAGAAACATCGATGAGAGAGAAACATCGATTAGCTGCCTCCTGCACACTCCCTACTGGGGATGTGCCTGCAACCCAGGTACATGCCCTTGACCGGTATCGAACCCGGGACCTTTCAGTCTGCAGGCCGACACTCTATCCACTGAGCCAAACCAGTTTCGGCAGATCTCTCTTCTTAATGCACACTCCATAGTCCAAACAGAAGGAATCATAAAGAACGAGGAACAACAGATGAAAATAATTCATGAGACTATACTCCATGATGAACTTTGCACACTTACAAATGTATTTATTGGCAAGAAAAACAATAAGGCTCTTCAGGCAAATGAAATAGTAGTTTTGTATTAAGAAAGAAAGGTAGAATACACACGTATATAAAGGGTAAAACATATCCAGTACTTGTCACCATTGGCCAGTAGGAAAACAAAAAACAAATACCAAACGTCATTTTTTCAATGGTCCCTTTCTTATGGATCAATTACAAAATTATATAAAAATTAAACCTACTTGCATGCTAGAAATACACTTCAATTCACCCACAGATCTACCTCACTTCAATATTTACTTACACAAGTAGGACCCCATACTATAGAAAATTACTTAAAGAAAAAGTCAGTAATAATAAGACCATATATCTATAACCTTTATAATATTTCACTCATATCATGAAAATTTTATAGTAACCTCATTTTCAACAGGTTACCCATATTAGTTACATTAATATGATTTATTTCCAATGCAATTTTCACACCACTTTGAAAATATATTAAAATTAAAAATTATGTTTTTTCACTTATACAGTTTCCACTCAGTATTCATTCTCACATGGTTTTGTAGGGATTTGAGACAAGTGAAGGTTTTCCTATATTGTTTACTTTTAGAACTTTTTCCACTGTGAGGTTTTTGTTTGTCTGTTTTTGGGTGTGGCTTCCCAAGGAAATGAGATAGCTAAAGGCTTGCCACATAGGGTATCTCTCCAGTGTGCATTCTTATGTGTCCACAAAAGGTTCTCACACATTCCTTATATTCAGACTTTTTCTTAGTTATGAGCTCTTTCATGACTTCGTAAAGAACTGGCACGACTGAAGGCTTTACCACACTTTTTACACTGATAGGGTTTCTCTCCAGTGTGAGTTCTTTCATGTGTTCGTAATGAACTAGGACAATCAAAGGCTTTCCCACATTCCTCACATTTACAAGGCCCATCTCCAGTGTGCTTTATCATATGTCTTCGAACATTGGAAAGGGAAATGAAGGCTTTCCCACATTCCTTACATTCATAGGGCTTCTCTCCACTATGAGTTCTTTCATGTTTTTTAATGGAACTGCGACAAGTGAAGGCCTTCCCACATTGCTTACATTCATAGGGTTTCTCCCCAGTATGACTTCTTTCATGTTTTTGAAGGAAACAGGGAAAACTGAAGGCTTTACCGCATTCCTTACACTCATGGGGTTTTTTTCTGGTATGAGTTCTTACATGATTTTGAAGGGATCTGGGAGTACTGAAGGATTTACCACATTCCTTACATTCATATGGCTTTTCTCCACTATGTGTGCTTTCATGATATTGAAAGTAATTTGGACAATCAAAAACCTTCCCACACTCCTTACATTTGTAAGGCCCATCTCCGGTGTGCTTCATCATGTGTCTTTGAAAGTTGGTAAGAGAACTCAAAGCTTTCCCACATTCCTTACACTCATAGGGTTTCTCTGCAGTATGATTTCTTTCATGTTTTCGAAAGTAACTTGGACAACTGAAGGACTTCCCACATTCCTTACATTCATAGAGTTTTTCTCCAGTATGACTTTGTTTATGTTTTCGAAAATAACTTGGACAACTGAAGGATTTGCCACATATTTTACATTCATAGGGCTTTTCTCCACTGTGTCTCCTTTCATGACTTCGAAAGGATCTGGGACAACTGAAGGCTTTACCACACTGCTTACATTCATAGGGTTTCTCTCCAGTATGAATTCTTTTATGTTTTCGTAAGTAACTTGGACAAGTGAAGGCTTTGCCACATTTTTTACATTCATAGGGCTTTTCTCCACTGTGTCTCCTTTCATGGCTTTGAAAGGATGTAAAGCAGCTGAAGGCTTTACCACACTGCTTACATTTATATGGTTTGTCTCCCGTATGTGTTCTTTCATGTTTTCTGAAGTAACTGGGACAAATGAAAGCTTTACCACATTGCTTACATTTATACGGTTTCTCTCCTGTGTGAGATAGTTCATGAGTTCGACAATAACTGAGAAAACTGAAAGCTTTACCACAGTGCTTACATATATAAGGCTTCACTCCAGTGTGAATCTTTTCATGCCTTTGAAAGGACTGACGATACTTGAAAGCTTTCCCACATTCCTTACATTTATATGGCTTTTCTTCATATTCCTGATACTCATATGGTTTGGGTGTAGTGTGAGATCTCATATGCCTACTAAAGAATGAATGATTCATGAAGACTCCACACACATTGCATTCACACAGTTTTAGTCCAGAAGTTTTCTTTTTCTGATTATGATTTGGAATTTGGCTGAAGTTTTCTCCATATTGACTACCTTGTTTATTTTTACCCAGTCTCTTTACTATATGAATGCTGTAAAAAGTGAAAAGCATATTATTTATTAATGTATTTATATTAATAATTATTAAATGACCTTTTTTAACCATAATTAAGGAAACTATAAGTGTTTAGTGCTTTCTGATTGTTTGAAAGTTCTAAATGTTTTGCAAGAGAGCTCAATCATAGCTATTATTAAAAGTTTATTCATAAATGGAGTTTCAAAATACTATTTCCAAATGTACTAATTTTGAAACACTAAACATCTAAATCACATGTGAGAAAAAATTATGATGAAAATATTGCAAGAATAAAAAAACTTGGCTGATTTGTTTTATGTGCAGTTATAAATATTTCAAGATTTACTGAGATTCATGGAACACTGCTTCTCATGTCAGTGTGACTCACCTTAAATTTGTCCCATGATTTTCATATTGACTTTCAATGTCATGGTCTTTGCATATTTCTCCTAAAATGCAGACCAGGAAAAATTATAAACATAAAACCTCATAGAAAAAACAATAACACACACCTAAAAAAACCAAAGAAAAATAACTTATAGAAAAATTGTTACATAATAAATCCATGATGAGCTGTGACCATGCCTGGTTTATTTACCAATACATCTCCTTTCCACATTCTACTCTTTGGAAATCCATTGATGAGCAAACACTGGTTTTCTAATTGACTAAGTAAGTAAGTAAGAAGTTGTCATCCTTACCTATGGAGGCCAAGTTCCTGAAGGTTTCCCTCATCACATCTCTGTAGAGTTTCTTCTGTGAAGAATCCAGTAAAGCCCACTCCTCCAGGGTGAATTTCACACTTACATCCTCAAAGGCCACAGAATCCTAAAGCATCCCAAATATGTATACAGGAGAATGGGTAAGATGAACAGCACTAGGAATTGATACTTAAGTCATAACAAGTTCACATATGACACTGTGGTTTCCCAACATTTATTTTATAACTTTGTTGTCAGAACTATTATTTATTGGACACACTCCCTCATAAATTTTTTTTAATCCTTACTTGAGGCTATTTTTCCATTGATTTTTAGGGAGAGTGGAAGAGAGAAGGAAAGACAGAAACATTGATGTGAGAGAAACACATCGATTGGTTGCCTCCTGCAACCAAGGTTCGTGCCCTTGACCAGAATTGAACCCAGGGCCCTTTGGTCCTCAGGCTGATGCTCTATCCAACGAGTCAAACCAGGTAAGGCTAGACTCTTGTTTAATATAAACAAACTGGAGTCCAAGATGGTGACGGGGTAGGCCCCTGCCATGAGCAAGCATCAAACATACGTGTATAAACTCCTGCAAAATAACTGAGGGCTGAATCAACAAAATTCTTTTTAAATTTTTATTGATTTCAGAAAGGAAGGGAGAGGGAGAGAGAGAGAGAGAAACATCAATGATGAGAGAGAATCATTGATCGGCTGCCTCCTCTACACCCCCTACTGGGGATCGAGCCCACAACCCGGGCATGTGCCCTTGGCCAGAACTGAACCCGGGACCTTTCAGTCTGAAGGCCGACGCTCTATTCACTGAGCCAAGCCGACTGCCGTGGTCAGCAAACTGTGGCTCTCGAGCCACATGTGGCTCTTTGGCCCCTCGAGTGTGGCTCTTCCATAAAATACCACGTGCGGGCGAGCACGTACAGTGTGATTGAAACTTTGTGGCCCATGCACAGAAGTCGGTTTTCGGCCTGGGCTAGTCTATTTTGAAGAAGTACTGTTGATATTTGGCTCTGTTGACTAATGAGTTTGCCGACCATTGGGTGAATCAAAAACTTCTGAACAGCAAAGGAGAGAAAGAAATCGTAACAGAGAAAGCTGGGAAACCGAGGTCATCAGGGATTTGGAACAGAAGGAACTTTCTTGAGTTGTCAGTGAGTGCCATTGGTTACACCCCTTCCACTTCCACGGGGTAACAGGAGCTCTATTCTGGTGCTCTGGCCTACCTGCAAGGTCACTGTCGATTTTTTTGGATACATCACCTGAGACCATTTTGGCTCTGAATAAATGGAGCAAGCAGGGTCAACAGAGCATAACTACACGCACCTGGCCTCCACACCCAGCGATACTCTGGCTTGGTATGCCAATATCGCAGACAGACACCTTAGGCACCTGCTCAGCTCCTCCCAGCCTGCTGAAACCACCTGGCAAACAGCCTACACAGAGGCTGCATCTACAAAAGGCCACTTTTTCAAGACTGGGAGAGACAGTTATTTTGTTTAATTATATAAGCAAACATAGAAAGTTAAACAAAATGAAAAGACAGAAGAATATCTTTCCAATGAAGAAACAAGAAAAACCTTGGGGGGTGAGGGGGTGTGGGGGGGCAACCCCTACAAAAATGGAGATTTGCCTGATAAAAATTTCAAAGAAATGGTTATAAGGATACTCACCAAACTTAAGAATGGAATAGAAAAACTTAGGGAGAACTTTAACAAAGAGTTAGAAAGTATAATAACCAAGCAGACCCGAAGAATACAGTAACTCAAATGAAAAATACATTAGAAAGAGCCATATCGAGACCGGTAGAAGGGGCGGACATGTGGAACAGGCTGGGCCCACAGCCACATGTGGCAGTTTATAATCAGGAGGAATATCTTGGCTGTGGAGGTTCCTCATAAGGAACAAGGGGTCCCAGCCCCTACACAAGATACCCAGCCCAGAGTTCCAGTGCCAGAAGAGAAGTCCCATAACTTTGGGCTGTAACTAAAGGGCCGCACACAGACTCATTCAGACTCACTCCCTCTGAGCTCCAGCATGGGGCAGCATGTTAAAAGGAACCAGGGACATAAAGGGAAGAACTAAATTATCTGGCATCAGGAGCTGGTTGAGCTGCTTTTTGTCAGACAAAAGTGCAAGCAGAGGCCATTCATTGTTCCTTTGCTGACCCTTCCCCGCAGAGCCAATGGGGAGTGGCGGCGGGGGGGGGGGGAGCGGGCGGGGGGGGCAGGGGCGGGCGGGGGGGATGGGGGGAGATGCCATATCTGGCTCACACTGTTTGCTCTGCCCTGGTGATTCCCTGAGACCTTGCCCCACTCAACTTGTGGGCTTATCCAAGCTGTTTCCAGTGGCTTTTCCACACAACTGGCCTCTCTTGCCTCATGCTTGAGACTTTTCTAAAATCTCTCAACCGAGCAGCATCTGACCCCTGTGTTCTCCTTACCCTAAGTGGCCCCAGGCCTAGCACTAGCGGTAGCCCGCCTTGCTTTCACTTTGGCCTTGCCTGGGCACCAGGTGATTCTAATGTGCAGCCAAGGTTGAGAACCACTGAACTAGAAGGATATAAAAAGGAAATACTCCCTCCTGTGTTTGTTCAGAATTTGACAGAGGTAATCTGCTCTGAACCTGCAAGCAATAAAGATGACTCCTAACTAACTGGCTCATTAGGCATCTTGTCCAGCTCGCTGATTTGCGATACAACAGTTCCAGGCAGGGCACAGGCAGTGGCTGACTTTGCACCTCCCGGGAGGCCCCAGAGCCAGTACACCCAATGGACAACTTCAGATCATGCTGGATTACAACCCTGCCACCTCCACAAGCATTACATTCAAGGGGCAGACTTGGTGAGCACCAAAGCCTCACTGAAGCAAGTCCTGCTACTTAGGGTCGACTCCTGCATAGCCGATTGGCCTGGTGGTCAATCTCTCCCAGAGAGGCTAACAGCAATAAAGGCTCACCTACAAGAGGAAGTGTACGGAGCCCATAGACGGACACACCTGGAGTTCCCAGTGCAGGTGACTGGGGAGGCTGCACCACTGGGCCCTATAGGACACTTACTATACAAGGTCACTCTAACAATTCCAGGAGAAATAGTTCTACCTAATACATAGAAATCAACACAGGGAAGCAGTCAAAATGCAGAGACAAAGAAACATGTCCCAAATGAAAGAATAAGAGGAATCCAGAAAAAGAACTAACTGAAACAGAGGCAAGCAAACTACCAGGAACAGAGTTCAAAGCAATGGTTATAAAAGATGCTCAAAGAACTTAGTGAGAACTTCAAAGACCTTAGTGAGAACTTCAACAGCATGAAAAAGGACATAGGAACTATACAAAAGAACCAGTCAGAAATGAAGGATACACTAACTAAAATGAAGAATAATTTACAGGGAATCAACTGTACAGGACACCAAGAATCAAATCAGTGATTTGGAATATGAGGAAGCAAAAAACCCAATTAGGCCCTGGTTGGTTTGTCCAGTAGTTAGAGAGTCACCCAGTGCACTGAAGGATTAGGTTTCAATTTCTGGTCAAGGCACATACCTGGGTTGTAGGAATGATCCGAAACGCTAGTCAGGGTGTGTGCAGTAGGCAAACAATTGATGTGTGTGTGTGTCTCTCTCTTTCACCTTTCTCTCCTTCTCTCCCTGACTCCCTCCCTTTCACTCACTATCTCTTAAAAAAAAATCAATGGAAAAAATATCCTTGGGTGAGGATTAACAAACAACCAACCAACAACAAAAATACCCAATCAGAACAGCAAAAAAGAAAAAAAGAATCCAAAATATGAAGACAGTGTAAGGAGCCTCTGGGACAACTTTAAGCATTCCAACATTTGCATCATGGGGGTACCAGAAGAAGAGTGCAAGAAATTGAAAACCTATTTGAAAAAAAAATGACAGAGCTGTAGCTGGTTTGCTCAGTGGATAGAGTGTCAGCCTGGGGACTGAAGGGTTCCGGGTTCAATTCTGGTTAAGGGCACATGCCTGGGTTGCAGGCTCGATCCCCAGTGGGGGGTGTGCAGGAAGCAGCTGATAAACGATTCTCTCATCACTGATGTTTCTATCTCTCTCTCTCTCCCTTTCTCTCTAAATTCAATAAAAATATATTTAAAAAATAATAATAATGACAAAAAACTTTCCTCATCTGGTGAAAGAAATAGACAAACAAGTCTAGGAAGTGCAGAGTCCCAAACAAAATGAACCAAAAGATGCCCACACCAAGACACATAATTAAAATGCAAAGGGTTTAAAATAAATAAATAAAATAAAATGTAAAGGGTTACAGACAAAGAGAGGATCTGCAAAACAGCAAGAGAAAAGCAGTTAGTTACCTACAAGGGAATTCCCATAAGGCTGTCAGCTGATTTCTTAATAGACACTTTGCAGGCCAGAAGGGAGTGGCAAGAAATATTCAAAGTGATAAAAAGCAAGGATCTATAACCAAGATTACTTTACTCAGCAGAGCTATCATTTAGAATTTAAGGTTAGATAAAGAGCTTCCCAGACAAGGAAAAGCTACAGGAGTTCATCACCACCAAACCAGTATTACATGAAATGTTAAAGGGTCTTCTTCAAGAAGAAGAAATAAAAGTTAAAAAATATAAACAAAATGGCAGTAAATATATATCTGTCAACAATTAAATCTAAAATCAAAATAATCAAACAAGCAGAACAGAAATAGAGAACACTTCGATGGTGCCAGATGGGAGAGGGGTTGGGTGGTGGTGTAAAAGGTTAAAGGATAGTTATAGTATAGTCATGGGGGTATAAAGTAGAGCATAGGGAATATAGTCAATAATATTCTAATAACTATGTATTGTGCTAGATGGATATGAGATATTTTAGGAAGATCACTTAGTTTTATAATGTCTAATAACTGGGGTGTACACATGAAATTAACATAATAGTGTATGTCAACTATAATTGAAAAATAAAAAATTATTTTAGAAAATTGATGTTTCTCTTTCCCCCCTTCCTCTCTCTATTTAAAATCAATTTTAAAAATTTAAAAAGAAAAAAACATATGAGAGGAAAATATCTCATAGAGAAAGCCAAGTATTTCATAAATACAGCAAATCAGTCATTTAAAAAACTACTATGAATGTCAAAAGATAGAAGCATCAAACAACTCAAACTACAATAAGTAGTTAGGATTGACACAATACAAAAAAATCTAAAACATAACATCAATAACATAAAACATCAGGGCAATGTTTTATATAGTATCTTGAAACTTAAATGCCTATCAGCTTAAAATAGACTGCTACTGATACAGAATAGTAGAGATAAACTTCATGGTAACTACAAACCCCAAACCTACAAAAGATAAAGAAAAAATAAAGAGAAAGAAACCCAAACAAAACACTAAGGAAAAATAGAAAACCATAGGGGAACAGATCAGGAGAAGAAAGGAAGAGCGGAGAACTATAAAAACAACCAAGAAACAATTAACAAAATGGCAATAAGTACATATTAATAATTATATTAAATGTAAATAGATTAAATAAAAAGAGAGTGGCTGGCTGGATTTTAAAAAATATGAGGCATTCTTTCTCTCTCTTGAGCATGCCCACACCTTTCCCCACCCTTTTCTTTCTCCAGGGCAGGTGTATCTCTCTGGAGAACCACCCCCCACAACCTTTCCTCCTCTTTCCCCCAGGCGTGTTCTCTCTGCCTTTCTTTTGCCTCTGTAACTTGTTTCCTGAGCTTATGCAGCCCAGTTGGCTCACCTTTCCTACCTCTGTGACTTTCTAAATAAACTTTTTCTTATAATTTGAAAAAAAAAATATATCTACATGCTGTTTACAGAAGACTTCAAATTAAAAGACACATAAACGCTGAAAGTGAAGAAATGAAAAAGAGTAATCATGCAAATAGGAACAAAAAGAGAGCTAGGGTAGCAATACTCATATCAGACAAAATAGACTTTAAAACAAAAAATATAAAAGACAAAGAAGGACATTACATAAAGGAGTCAACCCAAAAAGAGGATATAACAATTGTAAATATCTATAAACCCAATGGAGTAGCACCTAAATATATAAAGCAATTATTAATGGACATAAAGGGAGAAATTCACAGCAATGTAATAACAGTAGAGGATATTAACATCCCACTCACATCATCCAGATAGATCAACCTAATAGGCATCTTAGAAACTTCATTAAAAAACTGCAGAATAACATTTTTCCCAAGTGTACATGGAACATTCTCCAGGATAGATTACATAATTAGGTCACAAAACAAGCCTCAATAAATTCAAGAAGAATGAGATCATATCAAGCATCTTTTTCTATCACAATGGCATAAAACTAGGAATTAACTAGGAAAAAAACGGAGGAGGGGGGAGGGAGGAAACACAAATATGTGAAAACTCAACAACATGCTAATAAACAAACAATAGATTAAAAAGAAAATGGATATCAAAAACTATCTGAAAACAAATTAAAATGAAAAATAATTCAAAATTCACAGGATACAGCAAAAGCAGTTCTAAGAGGAAAGTTTATAACTATACAGGCCTACCTAAAGAAACCAGAAAACTCCCATATAAATAATCCAATTCTACACTGAAAGGAACTAGAAAAAACAAAACCCAAATTATACAGAAGGAAAGAAATAATTAAGATCAGAACAAAAATAAATGAAATAGAAAATTTAAAAAACAATGAAAAAGATCACTAAAACTAAGGATTGGTTCTTTGAAAAGATAGACAACATTGACAAACTTTAGCCCAACTCATCATGAAAAAAAGTGAGAGAGCCAAATAAAATATAAATAAAAGAGAAGTCAGAACAAACACCACAAAAATACAAAGATTACTATGAACAATTATCTGACAAGAAATTCTACAATCTAGAATAGAAAATTTCTTAAAGTTTATAACCTTCCAAGACTGAACGGGGAAGAAATACAAAATCTAAATAGACCAATTACTAGCAATGAAATTGAAGCAGTACTAAAAAAACAAAAAAAACAAATAGAAGTCTAGGACCAACCAGACAGCTTCATTGGTGAAGTCTACCAAACATTCCAATAAGAATACCTATCCTTATTTCTATTTCAAAAAATTAAAGAGGAAGGAATGTTTCTAAACTAATTTTACAAAGTCAGCATTACCCTGATACCCAAAACAAAGACATTATAAAAAAATAAAATAAGCCAATATTCTTGATGAACATAGATGCCAAAATTCTCAACAAAATATTGGCAAACTGGACTCAACAATATATTAAAAGGATTATATACCACGACCAAGCGAGATTCATCCCAGGGATGCAAGGATGGTTCAACATCCATAAGTCAATCCATGTAAGATCTGAAACCATAAAACTTCTGGAAGAAAACAGGCAGTAAACTCTGACATTGCTCTTAGCAATATCTTTTTGGATATGTCTCCTTGGGCAAAGGTAACAAAATAAATGAATAATTAAATGGAATTACATCAAACTAAAAAGTTTTTGCACAGTGAAGGGGACCATCAACAAAACAAAAGGACAACCTGCTCAATGGGAGAAGATATTCACAAATGATACATTTAATAAGGAATTAATATCCCAAATATATAAGGAATTCATAAAATTTAACACACCTCCCCCATCCAGTTAAAATATGGGAAGAGTACCCGAATAGACATTTCTCCAAGGAGGACATACAGATGACCTACAGACATATGAAAAGATGCTCAACATCACTAATCATCAGAAAAATGCAAGTGAAAACAACAATGAGATATCACCTCACGCTATCAGAATGGCTATCAATAAATCAACAAGCAATAAGTGTTGGTGAGGCTGTGGAGAAAAGGAAACCCTTGGGCACTGTTGATGGGCTTGCAAATTGGTGTAGCCACTATGTAAAACAGTAGGAGGTTCTTCAAAAAATTAAAAGTAGCCGAAACGGGTTTGGCTCAGTGGATAGAGCGTCGGCCTGCGGACTGGAGGGTCCCAGATTCGATTCCGGTCAAGGGCATGTACCTGGGTTGCGGGCACATCCCCAGTGGGGAGTGTGCAGGAGGCAGCTGATCGATGTTTCTGACTCTCTATCCCTCTCCCTTCCTCTCTGTAAAAAATCAATAAAATATATTAAAAAAAAATTAAAAGTACCTTTTGACCCAGCAATTCCACTTCTGGGTATAAACTGAAAAAATCCAAAACACTATTTTAAAAATATACATGCACCCATATGTTCCATACCCAAGTTTTCAGGGACACTAAAGTCAAAGGCCTGCACTACTCAGTGGATAAAGGATCCGAAGGAAAGAAACACAAACAAGTATTGGAATCAGCTCCGAGGAGCAGCCTGCTCCCCACAGGACAGGAGAGCCACTTTCAGAAGGTTCCACATTCTGTACTCTCCCGGCTGAGACAGAACCCCTGGAAGGAGGAAGGGACACCTGAGCAGCCCCAGGAATGAAGTCTGGGAGCTCCAACACCCTCTCCTCCCCAGGAAGACACACTCCCTCTCTCAGGCTTCATCTCACAGTGAGGAAACGTTCAGCTGGATTTAGTAGAAGGTTCTGATCCAAATGAACTCCCAAATTCATGAACCTAACCCAGGACACAGAACTCCTGACTTTTACAGACTTTCTCAGTGCGCATGAATTACACTCGGAGTGCACCTACACCCTGGATGCAAAACGCCAACCAATATGCCTAGAAACAGGCGCAGGGGGACCACAGCTAAAACCTCAGAAGGAGCATCAACCCCTCTCCCATGTGCACCTGCACCCCCAGCTTCCCAGGGCTGTAGCTTCTCAGTGTAAAGGCTCTTTCCATGGCGGGGTGAGCAGGTAGGACACCTGCAGGGGGGAGGAGGACTCCCCGGGAAGAACCAACTGGGCCTTCAAGTACTTACTTCCCTTTGCAGGTTCTGGGCGTATGTGTGCTTAGTTTGGGTCACTGACCACAGACCTCTGCTCCCCACTGGAATAGCTTTGGGCAACCACTGATATTTTAAGGCACAAACCCAGTGTTTGAACAACCCATAAATAAAGGTGACAAACCCAAAGAGGGGCAGTGTTGACAGGACAGACCACCCAGGAAAGTTTGCCAAGAGGAACGTCCACCCAAACATCCAAAGAACTTGCCATGGGCTGTCCGTGTCCAGGAATGATCCTGGGAGGCCGGGCATAAGAATTTCATACAACGTAGTTGCAAACGATTGATTATTCGCTACTTTCCTCTCATGTAAAATATCCACAAACAAAAAATAAACTTTACTAAAAGACCATCCATTGACTATGGGAAAATGATAAACAGTTAAAATATGGGTCTGTTTGAAACGCACCCCAGAAGACAAATAGTGGACTCTGATGCTTGAATTGGGAAGGGGACGTTGGCGTTTGGGGGCAGTGGAGGATTTGGAAATGAGCAGATTGGGGTGAGAGCAGGCTGGGGATTTGAGACCTGCTCCTAGCATGGGGAAACTCAGGAGAAATGGGACCCCCCCCCTCCCCCCCCGCGGAGAGAAAGCAGGGACCGGGGACCCCACAGACGAGTTCCTCTCCCGCACGGGCCCCGATAATAAGTTACGACGGTTCTCTGACGACCCGTCGCGTGGCCGCCGCACCGTATGGGCGGACGCGGGGCTGCGGGCGCAGAGCTGCCCAGCTAAGCTGCAGGGTCGGGCCGAAACCGCCGCGCGCAGAGACCGGGCAGGACGCCCGGGTCCGGCTGCTGGCCCAGCCCCCACGCCGCGTGCGGGAGCGGGCCGAGGTCCGAGAGGCGGCTCCGAGGACTCTGGGCTTGACCTTGGGGAGGCCAGGTCCGCTAACGCCGGGTCCAACCAGCATCTCGTCCCCGTCTTCGCACCCTGGCCTCACGCACTCACCATTTTGGGGTTTCTTGGGTCCCCTGGCGTCCCCCTGAAGATTTCTGGTAACCGTACGGGTCCCAACGCGACAGAGCCGGCGGCAAAGCGACCCGGGGCCCTGGAGGGCGAGCGACCCCCGAGCTCCCCGAGGCAGGACGTCCGGGCTGATGGAGGGACATCGCCCGCCCACCGTCCCGGGGCCTCCCCTGATTGGACAGTTCGAAAGGCCTGTTCTTTCGCGCCTGAGTGACAGCTGGACAGCGCTTTCGCGACTGGGCAGAAGGCCCGCGGGAACTCTTCCTCTGGGACTTTTTTTTTTTTCTTCCTCTGGAACTTTTGCATTGAAATATAATGTGCGAGGCCCCTGGCGGAGCTGGGATCCTTTTTTTACAAGTGCACACACTTAAAAGTCACCTGACCGTATGCAATAATGCAGTGGTTCTCAACCTTCTGGCCCTTTAAATACAGTTCCTCATGTTGTGACCCCCCAACCATACAATTATTTTCGTTGCTACTATCTAACTGTAATGTTGCCACTGTTATGAATCGTAATGTAAATATCTGACATGCAGGATGGTCTTAGGCGACCCCTGTGAAAGGGTCGTTCGACCGCCAAAGGGGTCGTGACCCACAGGTTGAGAACCGCTGCAATAATGTGTCTGGCTCCATTTGATCGCTTATGGTCGACAGCGTTGAATCTTCCACCCATCACCACCCCACCTCCTATTTCGTATTTTAAAAAATCCCCTGGCCTCCCAAGCCTTCGGCTCTGGTGGGAGGACAACTCTCAGTCTAACCACCAGCTATGAGATATGTTGATTAGATTCTCAGCTGTGCGGTTTACACTAGAAGGAAATTTATTTGAGATCATTTTTAAAAATGTATCTTTAGAGAACTCTGAAATGTAAAAGGACATAATTTATTTTTTTTTATTTTTTTATTTTTCGCTAACAGTATTACAAAGGGTATTACATAAGTGTCCTTTTTTCCCCCCCACCCTTGACAAGCCCCTGCCCTCCCTTACCCCCCAGTGTCTTATGTCCATTAGTTATGGTTATATGGATGCATACAAGTCCTTCGGTTGATCTCTTACTCCCCTCCCTCCTGTCCCCCAACCCTCCCTGGTCTTCCCACTGCAGTCCGACAATCAGTTTGAGGCAGCTCTGCCACTGTATTTATTATTGTTCAAAAGTTTGTAATGGTCTTAATTATCCATGAAAGAGTGAGATCATGTGGTATTTTTCCTTCATTGACTGGCTTGTTTCACTTAGCATAATGCTCTCCAGTTCCATCCATGCTGTTGCAAATGGTAAGAGTTCCTTCTTTTTAACAGCAGCATAGTATTCCATCGTGTAGATGTACCACAATTTTCTAATCCATTCATCTACTGATGGGCACTTAGGCTGTTTCAGATCTTAGCTATGGTGAATTGTGCTGCTATGAACATCTGGGTGCATATATCCTTTCTGATTGGTGTTTCTGGTTTCTTGGGATATATTCCTAGAAGTGGGATCACAGGGTCAAATGGGAGTTCCATTTCCAATTTTTTGAGGAACCTCCATACTGCCTTCCATAGTGGCTGCACCAGTCTGCATTCCCACCAGCAGTGCACAAGTGTTCCTTTTTCTCCACATCCCTCTCCAGCACTTGTCGTTTGTTGATTTGTTGATGATGGCCATTCTGACAGGTGTGAGATGGTACCTCATTGTTGTTTTGATTTGCATCTCTCGGATGATTAGTGACTTTTAGCATGTTTTCATATGTCTCTTGGCTTTCTGAATGTCCTCTTTTGAAAGGTGTCTATTTAGATCCTTTGCCCATTTTTTGATTGGATTGTTATCTTGCTTTTGGTTAAGTTGCATGAGTTCCCTATAATTTTGGAGATTAAGCCCTTA